TTAGCTACAACCTCTAGGAAGCATCTTCCCAGACTAAAACCCCAGTTCCCAAAGTCCTCCGGCCACAACAGTGTGAATTCCTCAGGGAGGTGCCAGTCTCATCCTCTTGTAGTTCCCACACTCCATCGGCGAGCTAAGAAAATGCTTATCTCCCCGAGCCTGTCCTTCACAATTCCACTCCATCACAGGTGCCACCGCTTGGTTTAGCCTGTGGTTTAGACCCCCCACTTAAAGAAAACATAAGATGGCTGCATCTTAGCCCAATAGACTAGTCATCACTTCCAGGATTCCTGGCCAGTGTGATCCTTGGCCATGAACACTGGCCATGAATTCTGGAAGTGATGACTAGTCACATCAGATCTGGACATTATTCCAAATCTCCATTTGGTTTGGCCTTCATAGAATTAGTCCTTTGCTTTACTGCCTGGGGTTTTGTTCAGAGTCCTGAGAGAGATTCAGGAATTACAGGCAATGCATGGCATTCCAATGAAGATCAACTGAGTATTGAGGGCAGGGTGGGTAAAAGAGCAGGACTTAAATCAAGTAAATAGCAGAAACTATCTACCAGCTAAAGGGAGCTTCCGTTCTCTCTTATATACAAAACCTGAGATTCGGAGCTGTCTCATTTTCAACCAATGAGGAGCTGTCCTACAAGTCTGCACACCCATTGGTCTCTGCATTGCACTTAACGGCCAATGAAATAGTCAGGCTAAGAGCCAATGAGAAGTCAAGCTGCAAAGCTGGGCGACCAATCGGGCCGAGAGTTGCTTTGGAGGGAAAGTATAAAAGGAGCCAGCAGGGAAGGGGTTTAGCCAGACTGCAGGAAGGCTTAGAAGAGAGAAGGAAGGAACAAACCAACCAGGAGGGATAAGTCAGTCAGCAGCTTGGAAGAAAGAAGCTGGTGCCAGAAGAGCAACCCTGAGAGGGAAAAGGGCAGCCCAAACCCTGGCAAGGTCTTCAAGAAGTGGAAATAGCAGGTAGAGAAGTTGCTGGAGGACCAGACAGAAGACTGAGGGGACATCTTCAGCCTGCATTTTGCTACCATGAACACAGATGTATCTCAGTTCTGCTGAAGACCCAACCTGGCTTTGAGGGATGGGAAGATCTGCTCTGTATTTCATATGGGAATGGCAACTTTCCCCCAGAGCTTTATTTTATCTAGTTATGAAATGAAATAAATTGAAGTAAAGCAGAATTTAACTTTAGTTAGCAAAACCTGAGAGGTTTATTCATTAGATCTTTCCTTCAGGAGCTCAAGGTGGCCTATTCCTTCTGCCTGTTCCTTACAAAGCCCAATGAAATAGCCTGGGTCACCTGGGGGCTCTCTGTGACAGGGTGTGTGCATGTGTGTGTGAGAACCCCTGTTCACAAACTCACCATGGCACCCCATTGGCCTATCCCTCCCAGTTCACAACAACCCTGTGGGGTAGGTTGGTCAGAAAGGGATTCCTAGCCCATTACTGTCACCTCTTTATCCAACAAGCTCTCAGCTGAGCTCCCAAATGCTCACCCTGCCCATTCAATTTCTAAACCAGGAGTAGCTTTCATGCCCGTTCTGAGATGTATAAGAGGGAAAAATGGCAGCCGGTAATCCAGTTAATAAAAGGGGGAGTTTTTTCTGGGTGTCTCCTTCCTGGTTCTAACATTTTTTTAAAATGCCTGGTTCAGAAGAGGATAATCAAGGTCAGCAACGCTCGGGGGAGAGGCTGTGCCCAAACCAAGCCAGGGTCCCGCAGAAAACAGCTGGGCTCGCTGGCCAAACCACGTGATGTTTCCCTGCTTCCATCCCTACCTGGTGTATGATGTAAATTCCATACTGCAGCTGTTGGCGCTGGAGGAAAGGGTGCAGGTAGTAGAGCAGGTGCCGCAGGTGGGTCTCCCGGTTGCGGTGGGGGATGATGATGGCCGTCCGGGAACGGGACTCGCAGTTGAAAGGGCGGTACCTGCCCCCTAACTCGACCGCGGGGTTTTTCTCCTGAATCTTCTCCAGCGTGGGCACCTGGCTGAAGCTCACTGTCAGGGGACCGACTAAAAGGGAAAAAAGGGCACAAGGGTTTTAAAAACACACAAACAACAGGTCGCTGCGATGCTCAGGGATTCAGGATCAAAACACCGCAGGGAGTGGGTTGCGTTTGCCTTCAGCTTCCCAAAATCAAAGGACGCGCCTAAGTTTCCAGCCCTCGAAACACACCCAGACCTGAAGCAGGACAAAAGTTCAGCATGTCTTGAACGTATCGCGTGGTGGCAACCTCCCCTGCTCTGGATAGGGTCCAGAGGGAGGGACATCAACTCCCAGAATCCCTCACGCAGCACGGCCATTCTCCCTGAATTAGCCACGTGGATTTTTTACTGCCCTGAATCCCGCTGGGCAGAAATCCAGCATGGTTACCAAAGTGAAGGGCAAACGGGCGGCCTTAGAAATTGGCTGCAAACCTGGCTGCAAAGCTGAATAAATCCACAAGCCGGACGTACCCCCCCTTCCTTTACTCTAGGAAAAGGGGCCACCCCAAAAACGCCTTCCGTCCTTCCGAACGAGCCCCCAGCCCTCTCTGGATCACGGCCCCAGCTCAGCTCCCAAGCTCTTGCGCTCTACAAACCGGCCCCCTGCGCTTTTGCCCCTCAAGCGGGAGACGCCGGGGGGCTTTGGGCCCGCCGAGCCAGGGAGTCCGGACTCACTCAGGTACGGGGACCGATCCGGGCAGTAGGCCAAAGGTTTCGTGGCGCCGGGGCGAGGGGGCAGCCCGAACACCAGGCTGAAGTTGGCGTAGACATCGTGGCTGCGGGAGTAGTCGAAGGAGGGGCTGGTGTCGCGGCCAAAGATGGCAGCCAGGTTGCGAAAGCCCCCGAAGGAGAAGTAGGCCATGAAGAGGAACTGGAAGCCGATCAGCAAAGCTAACGTGCAGGGGCGGTCCAGGAACCTTCGGAGCATGGCGCTGGGCGCATCGGAGCAGGCGCTGCGACGGGTCTGTCGAGGCGAGAGAAGCGGTGAGGAATGGCCCGTCCAAAGGCACGACGTCCGTCCTTAATTAGGCTTATGTCTTGCCTTTCCTTCAGGAGCTCCGGATGGGGGTGAGTCCCTTCCTATTTTCCCCCACAACAACCCTGTGAGGTTGGGCTGAGAGAGGGGCGGGTCCAAAGTCACCCAGGGAACTCTCCCAACTTAATCAGCCTCCCTGCCTGTGTATGAAAGGATTT